CCTTTCTAAATGAGCTAAAGGGGAAGTATTTATACTCCCCGAAACACATAGGGAAATCCGTCAAAAGAAAACGGATTCCCAGCGAGGAGCGCCCGCTCCACAATGAGGAGCGCCCGCTCCTAAGCTGGGAGCGCCCGCTCCTTTCGGCTGCACGCCCTCTCCAGAATGCTTCAATGAAGGATCAGATTTGAAAGTGTCAGGGAGGAGCGCCCGCTCCTCACATGATGCACACCCGCTCCCCTGTTCCAGCAGCATGGGCAGATTCAATCTTCAAAGGGAGTAGCGCCTGCTCCTGGTGAGGAGCACGCCCGCTCCTAACAGCACCTGAACTTGGGCAGAATGTGGCTAGAGTCGAGGAGCGCCCGCTCCATGAGAGGTGCACGCCCGCTCCCCTGGAGCGCCCTCTCCAATCTTCAATCCTCTTGTCTTAAACACGATTCATGCACCGAAAGCCTGCCTAATTGAGTCCATAGACCTGCAAAACATGGACAAACACAAACCAAGAGGGGGGGAAAGCCGAGACAAAACATTTTCATTCAAAATTGGGTTAGAAAGAGGGGAAATGATCGCAAAATCGGGTTTAAATTTACACAATAAGTGGTCAAATAAACCACTTATCAAATTCAAGAGTTTCTTTAACCACTGATACATGGACCTCTATACAACAAATCAATTACATTTGCTTGACTGTCCACTTTATTGATAATGATTGGAAATTACACAAAAGAATTCTGAATTTTTGTCCTATTTCTAGTCATAAAGGTGATGATATTGGCAAATAAATTGAAAAGTGTTTGCTTGATTGGGGGCTTGAAAAAGTCATGTGCATAACTGTTGACAATGCTAGCTCAAATGATAGCAATTGGGTATATGAGATGGAAAATGAATGGATGGAAAACTAGGGTTCTTAAGGGTCGTTTCATTCACATGCGTTGTGTTGCACACATTGTCAATTTGGTTGTTTCTAATGGGTTGAAAACTGTTAATGAGTCGGTTCAACGCGTTAGGCATGCTGTTAGGTTTATCAAACAATCTTCTGCTAGGTTGCAAAGGTTTAAAAAATGTGTCTAAGATGAAAAAATCAACACAGAAAAGGGATTGTGCCTTGAAGTGCCTACTAGGTGGAACTCCACCTATTTGATGTTGAATGTTGCTATTGAACTTGAGGATGCTTTTAAGAGGTATTCTGAGGAAGACCCTCACTATGTAATTGATTTGAATTAGAGGGATGGTAAGGGTAGCCCTGATCTGATGATTGGAATAATGTGAGAAGATTTTATGAATTTCTACAAGCCTTTTATGGTCTGACCTTGCATGTCTCTGGCTCTTTATATGACACTTCGAATTTGTTTTTTCATGAATTGGTGAGTGTTGTTGTACTTTTGAAATATTTGGTTTCAAGTGATGATCCGGATATGTGTCTTATGGCTTGTAAAATGAAAGAAAAATTTGAAAAGTATTGGGGTGATCCAGAAAAAATGAACCTCCTGATTTTTATTGCCGTTGTCCTTGGTCCTCGTTATAATAAGCTTGATTATGTTGAGTGGATGATAACTGAAATTTATGATCCTATTGTTGCATCAAAGTTGGTTAATAACGTGAAGGAAGCTTTGAATGCTTTGTATGAGGAGTATCTTGTTTCTTCATCTAATGATGTGAATAGGGAGGAAGTGTCTTCAAGTAAGGATGACAAAACTCCATCGTCTACCAAACATAAGAAGATTGAAGTCTTAAAGAATAAGTATAAGAAACACAAGTGTGAGAAAGATTGAGATGCAAAAATAGAGTTAGACAAATATTTGGAGGAGGATATGGCGGATGATATTGATGAATTTGACATTTTGAGCTGGTGGAAGTTCAATTTTTCAAGGTTTCCTACTGCGGAGAGAATTACCCGTGATGTTGTTGATGTCCCTGTTACAACAGTAGCTTATGAGAGTGCATTCAACACTAGTGGCAGGGTTCTAGATCAGTTTAGGAGCTCATTAACTCCCCGAGTTGTAGAAGGTCCTGTTTGTGCTCAAAATTGGTTACGTGCTTCACCATTTCCATGTATTGAAGAATGTTTAGTGGAAGTTGAGCTTCTTGAAGAAGGTAATATATAAGAACATCTAATCAAAAGTTACTTATTTTCATTACATGTATATATTAACTTGGTTATTTTTGTTATGAATTATGATAGACTTGAAGAATATGGAAATTGGTGATGCTGATATTGATGAAGTGCTTCAAATAATAGACTGAAGTGGCTCTGCTACTACTGTTTGCTCATTGTTGTTGCTACTACCTTGCTCTATGCTGCTGCTGACTTGCTTCTGTATGATGCTGTTGCAGTGTTGCTAACTTGATGATGCTACTGTTACGATGATGCTGCTGCTACTTGTTGCTGTTATGCTACTGCTGTTTCAATTGTTAAAGTTGTTGTAATGTTGAACAATATTTTTTTTTTTTGGATGAAGTGTTGATTTTTTTTTCCATATTGGCCTTGCAACTTTGAATTACATGTTTTAGAACTTGTTAATGTTGTTTTAATCCGATTATGCTACTGCAGTACTGCTATGTTGATGAATATGATATTTCATATTGGTTTATATGGTTTGGAAGCCCACAGAAACTGCAGATTAAAGCCCAAATAAACAAAGCCCAAAAAATTCGGTTTCGTTCCATTTTTTTTTAAACCGAAATTTATATGGTTTGGTTTCAAAAGTAAAGTGGTGCGGTGTGGTTTCTAAAATTCAGAAATCGAATTAGAGTGGTTCGGTTTCAGTTTGGGCTATAAACCAAACCGAAAATCGAACTTTCACCCCTAGTAATGAGTCCATGTTGTATCTATTGTTTGTAGTTTGAACTCTGAGGAAAGGTAATCTTTGTTGTTATTGCTAGGATGCTATCATGTTAGCAGTGTGTTTCCTTTTACGCTTATGTACTCAACATTGCTGATTGTTGTGTTTTGAATGTGTTGGCCTTGTCTTTATCTTAGTCCTAAGACGACCCATTTCTTATGGTAAGTAGTATGGACAGTTAAAGAGAAGTTTTTCAGGTGATGCGGCATATTCATGTTGGGGTTTGAGTGAAGAGCGAATCCTATATTCTAATTTATCTTGAAAATGTGTTTATTATTGATTGTTAGTTTGTTATTGTTGTTTAATGAGATTAACACATTAGCTTTAAATATTTATTTGGTTTTTAAAGAGTCTATAATGGTTCTAAGTTGTAGGTTTGACTTCGTTTGACTTTGGTTTGATTTTACTTTTGTTTGGTGGACTGTTGGACTTTGACTTTGTTTTAAAAGGTTTTGAAAATGTCTTGCGTTGTGTATCTTTGATAAATGCCTTAGCCGTTATCACGGTGGCGGTAATGCCTTGGTTATTTTTTTTTTTTTTTTTTTTTGTATTTTGAAAGGGTAAAACATGTATCTCAAAAGGGAAATTTCCAGGGTGTTACATCCGGTCCTATCCGGGTAAAAACCGGAATATTTTTGTCCGGACCGGAATGGACAGAAAAATGTATTTTTTTATTTTTTGGGTGAAAATTTTAAATTTTATATTTTCAATTTCTAAAAAATTTAGGTACAAAACTTGTAATTTATAAATTTAGGTGCAAAATAGGAAAGCACGCAAACGAAAACAAAACGTTAAAAAATGATGTATATATAAAGATATTAAAATGCAAAAAAAAAGAAAAGAAAATAATATAACCGGTCCATTCCGGTCCAAAATCGGACCGAAATAAACAGGTCTAGACCGGAACTCGGACCGGTTGATTAAGGTCCGGTCCCGGTCCGCGAAAACAGGCGATTTCGGGTTCCGGTCCATTTCGGTCCGGTTTTGGACCAATGCACAGCCCTACGTGCGGGTCAGGTTGGGCTAGGTCCAACCCGACCCACTGGCTACCTTTACTTTGAAGCATTAAGTTTGAGTATAGCAGAGTGATATAGTGATATTACTACGAATAGTAGATAATAATTTGAATGAAAGTGTAATACGTACTCAGCTCCGTATTTTATTACGTGCTCCATTTTTCCCTACGCGGAGTTTTAGGAGAAATAGTCAAAAGTAATGATAAAATACGTAGTATAAAGGAAGTAGGGTTGGTGGCAGAATAAAGTATGATAGATAGATGGAAAGAGAATCTAGAAATATTAAATTATAGTAGTTGGGGAGTCCATTAGAAGAGAAGAAATTAGTAAAATATTGTGAAAGATTTCCAAAAAAATAAGAAAATGGAGCCAATAATAAAATACGGTCGCAAAAGAAAAGTGGAGTAAGTAATAAAATACGAAGAGTAATTCATATGCAGATTCTAAGTGTATTGATTGTTTAATTTAACAAAAGTAGGCTCAATTGAATCATGATTCTAGAATTGTAATGGCCAGCTACCCAACTCTTCTAGTTGGGTAAGTATGCTCAATTGAATTAAATGAATAGATATTATCATGAATGTAAATAAGCATGATTTTTTCAAAATTATAATATGATTTTGCAGAGATTAACAGTTTATTTGGATAGAAGAAAATGGAAGGAAAAGAAGGGAAGAGAAAGGGAGGAGGTCAAACTCTCTTATTTGGATAAAGGATTGGGGGAAGGAAGGGAAAGGAGAGGGAGGAATCCATTTTCCCTCTCCCTTTAATAAACATAATCCCTCTAAAATTGGAGAGATTTGGAGGGAAATTGAAATTCACCTCTCCCCTCCCTTTCTTTCCCCTTCCCTCCCCTTTCTTTCCTTCCCTATTTGTTATCCAAACAAAGCGTAAGAGTAATTTGAACAAGGATAGAAGATGCAGTAATAAGTAAAATGCAAGAGTTTGAGATGTAGAGGGTACAAGTGGGAGTAGAAATTGATACGAAGTATATTATTATAACCACCTTCGCTTCGTGTCACTTTGTTTCCTGAACTTTAGGTAATTACTAACTAAATTTGACAATTACAAAATTAAATTACAGTAATTAATTTAATTTTTTTTTTTTAAAAATGCAAATAGCCAAGATGTGAAATGAAAACCCTTGCATTTGAAGATTAAAGTAATCTCAAAAGTGGGCAAGCAAGGTAGAAGAGAAAAAGTGAAAGTGTTGTAAGATTTGGCAAAGAAAGAAAAGAATAGTATAGGTATGATGTCAAGTGGTTCACGACAGTCGGGAAATTATTATTGTGTAAGAAGTTGTTTAATGGGAATTGGAATTGCATTAACAGTTTCAATATTTGGTCCAGCTTTATACTGGAAGGTAAACAAGGGTACCAAATTGGGACATCATACATCCTCTAATTGTCCTCCTTGTATCTGTGACTGTCCACCTCCTTTATCCATTCTTAAAATTGTTCCTGGTATTATATTCTCTCTTTCTCTTAGCCTTATTCTCTTTATTATACTCATCACCACTTTTTTCTAGATCTAATCTTCTTGTTTTTATACATTCTAGATTATTTAACATACATTAGTAAATAATGTTTTGCCAAATTAACAATGTTATTTTTTCTTCTTATTTATTTTTTATCTTTATAATTATGTTGAGATTGTATTTCTTGTATGAATAATGAATTGGGACATTGGGTATTATACTGTTTAATGTTGAGATTGTATTTCTTGTATGAATAATGAATTGGGTGTTATACTATCTCAACTCAACCTAACTTATAAGGGTATGACGAGATCATTAAAGATATGGCACATTATTCATTTTGATCTTTAATATAAGCAATTAACCTTCATACTGTTTTTTTGGTTTAACGTGTAGGTCTGGCCAATCTTTCAACCGAAGGTAATACAACCTCTTCATTATTCTTCTTCTTAAAAAAAAAAAAATCCAATATTTATTCTTAAATTTTGTCGATTAGTCTTGACTTCCTTGATATATATAAATATTGTAACTAATCATTTAGATTGATTTAGTACATACTTTCAATTCTCACATTATATTACCGATTAAAAAATCACTAGTAATGTGTCTTACATATATATTATGGAGAAGTTCTTTTATATATACTCTGTATTACATACTTACTTTAGTTTATACAAAAAATGATGAGTATATATATATGTGTGGTGATAATGAGTAGATTGTGGTAAAAGTGATCCGGAGCTCCAACAAGAGATGGAAAAGCAGTATGCAGAGCTTCTAATGGAGGAGCTGAAGCTGCAAGAAGTTGTTGCGCAAGAGCATATTCGTCATATGAATGCAACATACCGAGAGGCACGAAGAGTGGCTTCTCAATATCAACGTGAAGCTGAAAAATGCACTATTGCTATCGAAACTTGCGAAGAAGCTCGAGAAAATGCCGAGGCACTCATACTTCGAGAGATGAAACTTGCACTCTTGTGGCAACAACGAGCTCATAAAATGGGGTGGCAAGGAGAATAACTTTACTATTTACTTTTCCTGATCAAATACAATTATATGTTTAACTACCTCAGCTCAACAAATAAAGCTTTATCATCTCATATACTATAATACCATGTACAGTACATCATAAGCCATCAAGGCTTTTGTAAACCAAACTAAATTTGGCAAACCGAGAGTATTATATATAGACAATATTAGACATATAGTATTAGCTTTTATCAAAGGATACTTGCTTAACTTTCTTTAATTATAAGTTTCATTATTTAATGTTTGGTCATAAAGTAAAATAAACTATTTTTCTCTTCTAAGGTAGAGGAGTGAGGGAAATGAGATAAAAAAAAAAAAAAAAAAAAAAATTATATATATATTTTTTTTTACTATGGAGTAATTCTATTCCTAACAACTCGGATGTTTTTATAGTGGTCATTTGAAATAATACTACCATATTAATGGACACACTTAGTCTTATAATATCTACATTGCAATTTGCAAATACAATTTTGAAAATTTTAATCCAACATAAAATAAATATTTTTCGAGAAATTATAAAATAATAATAACTTTACATATGAAACTAAAATTTTGACACAATTTTTTGTATGTGGCTGGCCACATGATAAGTCCCATGACCATTCAAGCCCCATAAATTACGGACCCCAAATAAAAATAATGGACCTAATTAGATATCCCGGTTTTTTTAGAATTTCGACCGTTTTCTTTAATTTTTCTCTCTTTGTTCTCTCTCCTCCTGCAATTTGCTTTAATTTTATCTTCTCCTGTAATTTTCTTTTATTCTCTCTCCTCTAAATTCTCTACATTGTTCTTGCAATTGTTGAAAATGGTGAAATTGAAGATCATAAATTTCAAGGGAAAGAAAAGATCGTCTACTTGTAAAACAATTGATGGACCTTCAAACCCTATTTTTTACATTTTTAAGAATTTTGAAGATCATATGCATTTTTCCCTATTTTTTACATTATTGTTGTTTTTGCAAGTGTTTCGACCCGAATTTCGTTTTTTTTATTTGGTTGCATATGCTTCATTTTTAGTTCTTTTATGTTAAATTTTGTTTTGTTCTGTATTTTTTTTAAACAAGAAAAGGAAATTATATTACATTACTAGATGATAAAAACATCTAGGAAAATAATTGTTTGTGACCAAAATGGGCTTCCAAGTTTGCTTAGAGCTTGAAAATTGCAAATCATGGAGCCTGCTACTACCGAAAACAGTAAAGAAAAGGAGTATGTTATAAAAGCAGGGTTAATTGAAAGTAGGATGGTAAGTATTAGTAGTGAAGCCCAGCAGTGGCTCAAGAGCAGCAGCAGCAACCAGATTACTCGCCATTCTCATGGCAATGGCGTAAGCTTGTTCCTTGGTGTAGGAAGCAGTGAGGCCAGGAGGGAAGAAGAAATGGAAGACGAGGTCATCCTGTTGTGAGCTATCTTGTTTTTGTTTTGTTGCTGTGTTGCATATGCTTACTTTTATGTAGTTATGGCTCTGATGAGTTATTTGTATTATGTCAAGGTTAATTTTGTTTTTGCAATTGTTTTTTTTTTTTTTTTTGGTAAGTAATTGTTTTTGCAAGTGTTAGGTTGAATTAGTTTCGAATTTCTTTTGTATTTGTTTAATTTTTAGTTTCTTTTGTATTTGTTTTGTGAATTTTGACTTAAATTTTGAATCGGTTTTGTTATTATGTCATTTTGTTTCATTTTCTAAATTATCTATAAATGGGTACTTAAAATTAGGGGTTACTTATAACACGGGTTAACTGTTGAGGGGTTACTGATAGTATTGCTTACTTGAAATTAGGGAAAATTTATAATTTGAGTTACTTGAAATTAGGGGTTACTTATAATATGGGTTATTTGTTTTTGTCTTCTGTTTTGGGCATGTTATAAAATGGGTTACTTGAAATTTCAGGTTACTTATAATATGGGTTACTTGTTTTTGTCTTTTATTTTGGGTATGTTATGAAATGGATTGCTTGAAATTAGGGGTTACTTATAATATGGGTTACTTGAAATTAAGGGTTACTACTTGAAATTATGGGTTACTACTTGAAATTATGGGTTACTTGAAATTAGGGGTTATTTGAGATTAGGGGTTACTTGAAATTGCGCGTGAGTGTCAGACTCCTTTATGCGTGTCAGACTTCGTTATTTTTTTTGAGTTGGCAGCAGGCCGCACGTGTAGCCTGCTGCACCATAAACTCGTCTTGTATGCGACTAGCCACACCGTGTGGCAGTTTATAAAAAACAAAGTAACCCCTATAACACTGACCGAGTAGCCCTTGTAATACTGGTCGAGCAACCCCTTTAACACTGACCGGGTAACCCCTACAACACTGACGAAGTAACCCTTGTAACACTGACCAAGTAACCCCTATAACACTAACAAAATAACCCCCAGATAGCTGGCCACACAGTGTGACCAGCCACATAAAAATTTGTGATTGGAGAAAACACTACTACAAAATTGGCCAAAAGAATCACTAAAAAGAAACCCCTTTTATCAAATAAGGGGTTTCTTAATAAAAGAAACCTGTTTTCTCAAATAAGGGGTCTCTTATACATGTAAATAAGAAACCCCTTCTAAAGAAAAATGGTTCCTTATATATTTCTATAAGTTTACTTCTATTTAAGGAATCACTTTTACAAAAAGGGGTTTCTTAGATTAAGTTTTTTGTAATGGGAAGCGGTTAGAACATTGAACCGCTCCCTATTCTTAAAAAAAAACCCTAACAACCCCTCATATTCTCACGCCTCTTTTCTCTGATCTCCTTCTCTCTCCTCTCCATTCTCAATCTCACGCCTCTTTTTCTCCCTCTCTATCCTCTCTCCATTTCTCACCCATGGAACTCCTCTTTTCTCTCTCTCTCCTCTCTCCTTTCTCCATTTCTCAGTTCTCAGTTCTCACCCATCTCTCCTCTCCTCTCTCAAGCTTCCCTTTCTTTTCTCTCTCCTCTTATCACCGGCCACAACTACCACCACCGAGAGCAACACCCACAACAACCACCGAGAGTAATACCCACCTCCGTCGAAATCCAACCCTTGAACCCCGGAAACCCCCACCCACCATAACTCGAAACCCATAAACCCCCATCCACCATAACTCGAAACCCAGAAAACCTCACCCATCCTCTCTCAAAACCCATCTCGAAACCACTGAAAACCCCCACCCCACCACCGGGGTGTTTAGAGTGGTGTTTGTAGTGGGTTTTGTGGGTTATGGGATAGGTTACGGGGATGAGGGTTTCGGTAGTGATTGGTTAAGGGATAGGGTGGTTTTGGCGGGGGGGAGGGGCGACAGGGAGGTTACCACTGAGAGAATCACCCACAACAACACACCGAGCAACACTAACAACAACGCAGCGCAACACCAATGCCGACAACAGCGCAACACCAACACCAACAGCGCAACACCAATTCAGATTTTAATTACTTTTATTTTATTTTTTTAAGTTTGTGCGTGTTGGCAAATGTTAAATTTCATATTTTTATTTTTTTTACTTAATTTCATATCTAATTTTAATGATTTGCGCAAGTGGTTTAATTGGTGGTGAGTGTTGGTATTTGGTGGATGCATGCGCGTGGCTGGTGGTGCGCATGGGTGGGGGATGGTGGTGGAACGCATGGAAGCAACAAAAGTTTTATTGATTTTATTATTAATGTATTTTTTTGGATGAAAATGTAATATTACAACTATTGATTAATGAAAATATTTATATTTATATTGCAATATATATGAGTATTTTTAAAAAATTTACGGACAAATTAAAGAGACCCCCTCTTAGAAAAGTGGTTCCTTAAATACATATAAGAAACCCATTTTTTGAAAAAGGGGTTCTTTCAATATTATGATTTAGTAATTTCAGGAGCATTTAAGAAACCCCTTTTCTAAAAAAAGGGTTATTTAATTGGATCAAACAAACCCCCTAAAAAAAGTGGTTTCTTAACGTAAGAGACCATTGAGCTTGAGACCCCCTCTAAAGTGATTTCTTATGCCAATTTTAGGGGGTTTCTTTTCATGTTTTTGTAGTAGTGAAAATATGTCAATTATGACCTACATAATTATTAAAATATTATGGTAGTCATATTTCAAAAGACTAATATAAAGTTTTCTAATATACTAGTGACAATTACAAAATGATTAGTTGTTCCATTGTTTATGACACAGTTAAATTTGACACATTTGCTAATGTAATATTTTAATTTAATTTATTAAATGCGTAATATTTTAATTCAATTTATTAAAAATTAAAAGAAACTTGATATTATAAAATTTTACATTAATACTACAGTAGTATACACTTATTTAACAACCTTCTACATTTGTTTTTGAATAAAGATTGATTCATAAATAAAAAGTCATACGCCATCTACGAATAAATTTATATCTAATAAATAAATGACAATTGAATCAAATAAAAACATAATTTTAGCAAAATGACAATTTACATAAAAACATTTGTTTTTTTTTATTTTAATTTGTTTATTTTAAATATTAGTAGAAAGATATGGTAACGTAAAACTTAGCATACATACTTGTAATCCACAAGTAAGGAAAAAAAAAGTGTATGAATTATTTAGAAACAACGTGTTTTCTACGTGGCTGGCCACACTGTGTGGCGGAGATTACTTATTCAGGGGTTACTCGATTGGTTAGGGGGTTACTTATTTAGGAGTACGATTACTAGCTCGATCAGAGGTTATTTGTTTAGGGGTTACTCGGTCAGTCATGGATTACTCGATCAGGGGTTACCCGGTCGGTCAGGGGTTATTTGTAATCCCCCGTATTTTTAAATATTTTATAAATGAAATTTTATTTTATTTATAATATTTATTTGAATTTTTCCAGAATTTAATTTTCAAGTTATTAATTTGGGTCAAAAATTATTTTAGGCTAAATTATTTTATGAACCTATATCCTACAATCCATTATTATAAAAACAAAGCCTAACCCATTTGTTAATTTAATTGGCCCATTATTTTCATGAGGCCCAATTCTACCCAACAATTCTCTCCTATAAATACCCCATGAATCCCCAAATTTTCTCCTACACAAAAAGGTTAGTCTTATTTTATTCCCCCTTTATTTCTTACTAGATGAAAGTCCGTGCGATGCACGATTTTTCATACATATATCTCAAGAAAAGATATTTTCCTATATACTCTAAGTTTTTTTATTTATTTATTTATTTTATTTTTTTATAATTATTTGATTTATTTTACAATTTAATAATTTCACACAAAAAAAACAAATAATAATTTAATTAAAATGATATTGCCAATTACAAAAGTATAATTCTTTAATGTAATTTATAATGCGACTTAATTTATTATTGTTTTGTATTTTA